TGCTGCCTGCCTCAGTTTCCCCACCTGGTGAAGGGGAAGCAGGGGTCGGGGGGGACGGGACACGACTCGTCCTCCTGCCTCTTGCTTGCTCATGTGCCCCAGGCCCCAGCAGGAGCCCCCCAACCCCAACCCCTCCATTTCTGCCAGCCCAAAGCCCTGGCACGGAGCTCGGTCCCCACGGAGCAGAGCCATGGGCACCACGGACCCCCCTGCCAATGTGCCACGAAGCCCAGATGCTCCCTGCCCAGGGCAAACTGGGCTGCAGGAACTAAAAGAGAATGGCCACCAGCAGGCAGCTGTATAGGGCCTAGGACACAGGGGCAGCTCGGACCCAGGCAGCCTGGCCCCCGGCTCTGGCAGCCTCAGCCGGGGGTCTCGGGCCGGGCCCGTGCCCTGGTGCCATCCAGCCTGGCGCTGGCACCGGGTGCCCTTGGCCCGAGCGGCCACACGAGGGAGCCCCAGCCCCGCAAAAAGCAGTGCAGGGTGAGCAGGGGACACGCGGGCCCTTCACACACGCGTGTGCACAGACCCCTGTTGCTGCCCCTGCCACGTGCAGCCTCGCAGAGCCTGCACGGGACGGGGGAGCTGGGGGGAGACCTCAGCCCAGACCAGCGGCCGGGCCCCGCCGGCGGAGCACGGCGCACTCGGTGCACCCACGCCAGGGGACCCGTCCTGCCCCAGATCCAGCCCCACACACAGACCCCCGCAGACGGGGCCAGGCAGGGACCGTGCGGCTGCCTCTGGGGAGGATCCGAGCTGCAGGCCGACGGACGGCCAACAGGAACAGGGGCAGATCCGGAAGGAACTCGCCGCAGGCTCCGGGGTGTGATAACGAGGCCGGGGCACGTGGGGTGACCTGTCCCCTCTCCACAAGGCGGGGGAAGCACTGATGGGGAAACTGAGGCACACACAGGGAAGGGGACTCTTGCAAGCCACACGGGGAAGTCCAGGCCCTGAGGCCACGCCGGCTTCTGCTGCCCACCACGGGCCCGGCAGGGGCAGGGGCAGGGGGCTGCCGTGACCTGGTGGAAGCACAAGGCCGAGGCGAGACTCCCTGGCACACGTACCCAATGCGCCCTCCCGCAGGGCACGTCCGGCTCTCGGGGCAAACCCGCTCTGCCAGCTCCGCTCGCTCCTGCTAATGCCCTCGTTAAAAGTGCATGAGAGAGAGGGGTGCCCGGGAGACATGGGCAAAAGCTCCCGGCGCCTGGTGCGAAGGACGCTGTATCGCCCCGCCGCCGGCCTGGCCCAGGCACCAGGTCACCCCCATGGGAGGTTGATTTGCACACACACGTCCACACAGCGCCAACAAACATCCCCCCACTATTGCACCAGGCCTGCAACACACCAGGGGCACGTGTGCACACGCACCAGGTAGAAAACACAGCCCCCCCGCCAGTAGCACACGCGCGCACATGTACACCCTTCCCCCTGCACACGCCAAGCAGGGACAATCCAGCCCTTCCCTCCACAGCTCGCGTGTGCATGCACACACGTGTGCACCTGAACACGCTGCATCCATGCCCCCCACATCCCCACTGCGGCCCCCTTCATGTGCCCGCACTCCTGGGCCGGCCCAGCCACTGCACGGGGACCCAGGAGACACCCACCC